GGGACAAACGATTCACTAAAATCTGCTGCTAATGAGGCGTGACTCTCATCTCTACCCTCCTAAGTATGGGTTGAATCGTCTGCCATGGGTTCTATCTGAAATTAGAAAGAGAAACAGGTCATTATCGTCATTTAGTTGTTGTAGTAGTCTTGACTCTCTAGAGGCCTGTACATATAGACACTGACTGAATCTAAGTAGTGGATCCTAAGAATGACTAAACTCAGATGCTTTGATACCACTAAATGTAACCCTCTAATTCAGTTTGACCCAAAGATCCATGGTTACAATGCCACAAGGGACTACCGAAATAGTGACCTAAAAATTTCTTTAAAAATTATTTGTAATTCTGAAAATAATCCTCCATAAAAATAAAATAAAATGTGATAATAATATGGGTTTACAAAACGATGGGGAGCTCCCAAAATAAAACCAAAATGATACAATACCAAGTACAAATCAAAGTTACGACTTAATAATACACAAGGGCCCATAATTAGTACATGCCCTCAAAAGATGACTCAAGATGTACTTTGATGTCTCTGAGTTTCTGGTATGATGCACTGTAAACATGCACACGAAAACACATTATGGACGATGAGCTTACGAGCTCAGTGCCTCACTAATGATTGTACTATATTATATGCATTTAAATGAGATAGCTAACGAAACATGTCAGAACATACAAAGCTATTGATTTAACTATCGAGAAGGCATCATGGTGCAACTGATGGTTCTTTATCTCAGAGTTCACACACCCCTCTAGTCTTTCTGAGATACCATCGGGTACCTAGGGTGAGGTCCGGAGATGTATAAAAATGTACACTCGTCAACTTACTCCATTGAGTCTTGGGGCATCTGAGCCCAATCAGCTGCTAAGTGCCTTGGCACTGACTTAGACATCCACTAATTGTTGTAATTCTGCTAAGAGTAACTCGAGTGTCCTGGTTATTTCCCAAGTGTCAACCAAGGCTAGTTTTATGTAACCCTAGCTGTTACTGTTTTTTTATTATTATATTTATTATTGTTCTCGCTTGAAGTCTTATTTGATGTTGTTAAGAGCATATGAAGTACCTCGAGTCTGATCCCTTAATAATTAGATTATTTATCCAAAAATGTTTGTGGGTATCGATACTGACCCTTCATTATAGGTACTTGACCCTAACTGATGTGACTTTTGTGTTAAGGCAGAATCAATACCCTAGGACGAGTATCGATACTACAGTATTGAGGTATCGATACTTGACTGAGTATCGATACCAAATTTTGGTTCGATGTGTTGAAAAATACCTTAGTATCGATAGCCCTATGGGGAGTATCGATACTCCTGCTCTGGCTTCGATACTCTTTGAATAAGCATCGATACTACCCTTTTAAAGTTGCCTAATTTTTGCCTGAATGATGAACAATATTGATACCGTCGCTACGAAATATTTTGTTTTGACATGAAAGATCCCATATTTTTGCCTTGAATGCCTAATAAGGTCCCCAACTGATGTTTAAGTATTTTATTTGATATTAGGGGTCATAAATAGGTCTTAACACGTGCTAAAACACCAAAATTATGAATCTACCATGAAAATGCTTCAAACTCATGCACCTACCAAATCTCATCTAAATGAACAACACATGGTATAGGTGAGCTAAAAATGAGTTACCTGAGTATCTAGGCTACTGATGGTGTCCAAAGCTCAATCAAGAATGACTGTTTCCTTCCCCTAGCTTTGGAGATTTTTTTAACTTCTCTCACTAAGAAAGAATCAAAACAAGAGTTACTAACTGAATTAGAGGTTATGAAGGGTTTAAGGATACTTCCTAAGGCTATGAATCACTGAAAATAGATTAAAACTCAAGGTTTCCTTAAACCCCGCAAAATCTATATTTGGTATCCTTAACCAAAACATGTCAATGAGAGCTTAAATGGAAGCTAATGAGATGAAGATTATGATTCTTAACTTCAAAATCTCTAACTAAGCCTGAGATCAACAAGTTATCATCTTTAACTTGTCTATTTGAATGAAGAAGGAAGAAAGAATATGAAAGCTTGGGAGAAGAAAATGACAAGGTATGAAAAAATAGCTGAAACAAATAAACGTGAGATTACCGACTCTTAATGGTTTTCAACTTTATTTTTGAACTATGGTCTAATAACTCCCTTGGCCCTTCTGATTTGATTTGCAAATTGAAAATGACCATTTTTAACCACTATTGGGCTCAATCCCAACCCAAATGCACTTGCTCTTGAGTCAAGGCTTCCTATAAACTAAGGAATTAATTCAACGTCCATCTCGAGTTAGCCCAAGACTCCTAACCCGGGATCCGGAGCGTTACAAAATCATTGTAAGTCGGTTGATATTTTAAACTTCAAAACCAACTTCAATTTCTTGTTCAAAATCATCTTTTTTTTTTTATTTTTCAAGTTAAATATTAAAAATAACTTTGGGTATATGTATGAAGATCAAATGGCATCCTCGACACATTCTTGAAAATCTCTTTAATGTATTTAATTAATTCTAATTATACTCTTTTAACATGGGACATTTTTAATATATACTTTAGTTGTATCTATCCATATATAGAATACTTGAAATGAAATTTACCGTACACGTGCAACATAGGGTATGTTGTTTGCTTAACTGAAAATATTTTTTTGAAAAATATTTTTTGTGAAATAAATTACATCTTTTAAAATATATTTTCTGAAAAATGTTTTACGGTATTTAGAAGATGTTATGTAAATCATTTTTTACTAATTAATAAATTTTCTAGAAATTATTTACTTACAAATATCAAATACAACAAATAATATTATTTATTGTAATAACTTAAAATTATTATTTTTAAAATATTAAGATAATTTATTTAATATTATTTATGCCAATATTATTATTAAAATATTTTTTATACAATTTTAAATAAAATATTAAGATTATTATATTCTATTAAAATAAAAATGTTACAAATTATATTAACTATTTATTAAAATAAATATTATATTATATTTTAAAATTATTAATAAAATATATTTTAATTATTTTTATTAAAATATTATTAGGCTATTATATTAATACTAAATAGTAAATACTATTATTTAACATTAATAATTCGATAACATTATTTTTAGAAAATTAATAAATAATATAATTTTTATTAATATTTTATTAAAAAGTTATAATATCATATATTATTATAGCATAATAAGATATATTATTATAGTATTAAAAATATAATATTATATTATTAAAAATATTAATGAAAATATTTTAAATATTCTAATGATTAATATTTTTCTTAAATGATACTAAAGTACTATAGTAATATTAAATATATAAAATAATATTATTTTGAGTATTTATGCTTTAAAGTGAAAAGTTTAAAAAATGACTTACGAAAAATTAAACTCCAATTCATTCTTCAAAAAATATAAAAAAAAGTTATATTAATCAGGAAAATATTTTATATTAACTACTTGTTTTATCAACTAAATACTAAAAAAATATTTTTTAAAAAATATTTTACGTAAAACAAATAACTTCTTTGATACAACAGATCAATCGGGATGTACTATGGTCATTTAATTTCAAAAAAGAAAAATTTCGATACATTATTCAGAGATATAAATTATAATGGCATTTACAAGTGAACAACGTACACTTTTTCTAAACAACCCTTGTTGTTCTCCTACTTCATTATTCTTTCCAGTTTCCACAAGGGAAATCATTTCACAGTAATTTTGAACACACTGATATAGCATACGATGAAACACAATTTTATCAACTTAAAAGCATCATATATATACATATATTAATGACCTGCAACCATGTTACCATATATGCTTGAGAGCATCCATTTCTTCCCTAAATTTGGGAAGAGCAGCCATGGGTAGAGAAACCAAAACTCTAGCACCGCCTTCCATGGATTTATCCAGTTTACAAGGGGCAATACAAGAACCAAGTCCACGTACCCGAACATGTTCCACGTCAATGGAAATTTAATTCTTCTCTTTTTACGACAGAAAGACCAATTTCCCTCCCAGACTTGCAATATAAATCAGTAGTAAAGGGAAAAAAAAACTGACTGAGTTGTACCAAAATGTTTTGTGATTTGAAGTTTGAACGACTTATATATGAAAATGTTGATAAATTGAACATGGAGTATTTATTCTGATCAGCTTAAGATTATCTTATTTTATTTTAAATTAAGGGTCAGTGGAGTAGGATGAGATTTGATATCCCACTGTATCAGTATGATTGTTTCTTAAGAAAACAATTCATCACCCAATTAATTGACCATTCCGGATAAAGTAATTTACCATCTGATTACGAATATATTGTTTAATTCATCAACTACCATAAATTTAAATTTACGTTATTAGCATGAACTAAATGACTTCAATGGATAAATTAGCATGAACTAAATGACTTCAATGATAAAGAGATGATTGTTATCCTATAAAATCTTGAGTATGAGCACAACCTTTGCAGAGGTATATAAATATTCATTGTCAAATAGTTAAAGATATTTCGAATAAATACTTTATAATCTCTATAGATTAATAAAAAAAACTCACTTTCACCCCCTTCTCCATTTCACTATTTTTGTTTTTTTGTCTTTTGATGCTCCATCGGATTAAGCTTCTTCAAAACATTCTTTTTGAGGATTTTATTATTGAAAAAAAAAACATTGATTTCATTTCTTAAGACAGTTTGCCTGCAACTGCAACCTAAGCACAGCATTAAACAAATTGTTGCGTATGAATTCGGCTTCAGCTAAACGATGATGCGGAGTTGAGAATCATGTGTAATAAGACGTATATTTCCGTGTATTCATGAATTTGTGACGCCAAAATGACAAAGCAAGACGATCTTGTAATGACCGACTTCTAAAATAAGATTCACACAGGTTTCATAATATTAACATGGAGCATGTTTTATCTATGGATAAGCATTTCCCTCACCAGTCGGTTCATTATGCTTAATAACATAACGTTGGGTACCAACAACCATCCATAAATTCACAAACTTTGGAAGCTGCTCAAGTAACCATGTATCTTATCATGGCATTGTCATGATTAATTCATACTACGAATCCTATTAAGGTGAGGTCTTTTGGATCTAATTATGAACAGAGTTTAACATAAAACAAAATCATCTAACATGATCTCCAAACAATTAAATCTGCTTGCCAACTAAGTTCATATTTCACCTGTAAGACCATCTCCAATCTGCACCATCAGTATCGTCATCACTATTTCCATGACCAAGATAATCATCATCACATGAATCAACTTCATATAGGTCTTCATCATAGCCTCCCAGGCTCCCAACTTCTGAAGACTTGATACTGCTAGATGATTTACTCTCCTCATCCTCATCTTCATCTTCATCCTCTTCCTCCTCGTCAGATAATTCATCAGGATAATCATTTCTTGGATTATCTTCCGCTGCAAACACCGAAAAGAATATACAAGTCATAAAAATATCCTCAGAATTTGGTGACAGAGACTATACTCTAAAGATTACCATTTGAATCTTCGCTATCGTATTCTGACTCATATGGCACATCATAGAAATCCTCATCATCCACCTGCACCCTGCAACAAGATCATGCATCACTTTCAATATGTGTGGTTGAGTGAGAGAGAGTGATGAAATAACAAAGTAATGTAATACTCACAGTGGGAATGGATTTGAAGCCGCATCCTCATCTAAATCATGGTCATCCTTCACAGTGTAGTAGTCATACACATATTGTTCTGCATGTTAAATAGAAAATAAAATAAAATACATCAGATGGTCTCAAGAACATAACACTGGTGTTCTAAAGAGGACACCAATAATACTAATTCTCTAATGAAACAACATTGCAGGGGAAACCAATGAAATCAACTGCATAAAACCCATATATAAATTTGAAAGATCAAACGGTCTTGAACTTTAAAGCCGAAAACAATAGCAGCTTAAAGGGCAGACATAGTGCAGTAAATAGTGGTTCTTCATAAAAATTAATTTACAGTTCACAACCTTTTCCAAACACATATTCTCGCATATCAGATTCAATTCCGGCAACAGCTTCAGGGATGTACTTTTTCAATAAAGGCAAATAACTTGACAAAAGCTTTTGATCCTCCAAGGATCTCTCTCTGCAGTAAAAATCTAGGCAACTTAATCTGTTTCACAATAATTCTTCAACGTACAAGAAGTTAAATAAATTTTAAGACAAACTTACTCAAATTGCATGTTATTATACTTTTCCTCAACATCAACACGAACAACATCATAGAAATGGCACATTTCATCAACCGCCTCTTTTTTACCTCTTCTGCTCCTCCATATTTGTTCAAAACGAGCATTTTTTGCATTTATCTGATACAACAGACCCCATAAAACTACAAGAATATGAAAGTAAAAAAAAAAACATATACTTTTTACCTACTTCACAAGATAACTGGTTAACTACAGACATAGGATCCAAATAATGCAGTAAGCTGCTTAGCTCCAGTTTAAAATTGTACTTGATGCAGACAAACTTCTGAATATTGTTCAGATTCTCCATAGTATGGATTAAAACACTAATATGAACAAGTTTCTACAAGGAAAAGAGTAACTCTAAGCATACTTGGGCAATTTGGTTCTCTTAGCAACACCAGTTGACAAATTTTTACTTTAGTCTCACAAAAAGCAGCATTTCCAGTTATCTATACCAATGTAGCCGTGAGCCTTTTGAATGAATAGCAAGAACTATAATACAGGTACTTCAGCGATTTAACCCTATTGTACCATAAATTTATTAATCAGGTTATGGGATCAACGCATAGTTTCATAAGGCAAAGGTCGTAAAACTAATCCACAATGTGAAACCATCCAAAACCCCTTTGCAACATTCATATTAGAAACATATGAAAGCAAGACATAGCATAGCCAAACCAGCAACTTGTCCCACTTTAGTTTGTTACCCAGTGAGAAGAATTCCACATACACCAGTAAATGTGCTCAATTGGTATTCTGCTATCACTAGTAAAGTAATTATTTAAGATGACAGTAATTTCAACAAAAAGGTAAGATGATAATGAAGAGCATAAACAAGTGGAGTTTACAAGAAGGCATTATTCCATAGATACATTTCATAAATATAGATCTTAACAATATGTTTGAATCGTAGACAAATCAACAATGGCCATCAGATAGACAAAGACAAAATGATGATGACTATCTTTTCAAAATGAATTAGGACACCATTGCCGAACATTAAATTACCTCTTGCTTTTGGATGGATTTTGATAGCTGTTGTTGCCTCTACAGACATTAAAATCAAAATGTCGAAACATTAGGGTACATAAAGGGGAGAGAAGAATCTCCAGCAAATTAACGGAGCAACAATGATTGTGCTGAGTGAAACAAAACAGTATGAGTGATTACATAATCAGTTTTCTGAGGGCGCCCTCCTTCCTGACTCCTTTTCTTACCAGAATTTGGCTGTAAAAGAGACCCGCAGTTAGAGCTCCCTTTGCATGCAGAAGTAATTGACAATAATTTAAAACAGAAAAGGACCTTTAAGAAGGAGACTACAACAAAAGCACAGGATAAAGATAAACAGTACACATATTAACAGCATTTAATCACTACTTACTATAAAAGATTGAACAATATCAACTGTATCCCGAGAGCTTTCAACTGTATCAACATGCTGCACAAATACCTTCTTACTCTTCAACTCCTCTAATTCAAAACAACATCATCGCGTCAGTTTTAGAAGATTTTTTAATTACGGGACATACAAATTAAGAACGATCCTTTCTGATTTTTTAAAAAATAAAAAATAAAACAACGAAAAACCTTTTTGGGGCGATTCCGATATCGATAGATTCTGAAAATCAGAAAAAGGTCGCTTCAAAGGTCGCTCATTGATTTCGAGCCCTGTAAAAGACACCAAAAGTGTTCCTTGAAGCTTCAAAATTGCATTTAAATTTATATTGACAGGAAAAGAAAACATAAAAAAAGGGTACGATAAAAGAGAGAACGAAAAGAAATAACATACAGAAAGCATCGAGACGAGACTGGGAGATTTTGCGCTTAACCCTAACGATCACAGGCTTATCGGCCGTCGATTGAGGCGTTGCTGAAGAGCTTTCGCCGTTACTGGCCATGAGGGTTGATTGGTTGCGGTTAATTTTGCTTGCACAGAGGTGGTTTGGGTTTTTCGTTTGGGAGAATAAGGGATTTTAAGACTTTAACTAATCTTTCTATTTATTTTTATTTTTTGAAAATCTTAATTTCTAATTCTTCTGCTTGTACAGAATAGGGTGAATTTAGCTTTAATAGCTGAGGGCCATTGTTTTTTTAACCATTATTTTTTGAAAATAAATAGAGGGCTAAATGTTATTTCGGCCCAAACTTGGATTTTTTTACGCAATAAGACACGAATTTTAATAAAATATATTTTTTTATTAAAATTTATCAAATCAATATAAAAATATTTGAATAAAACATATTTTTATTAGAATTCGTCATCTTTATTTGATAAGTTTCATGCACTATAAAATACCGTAGATCTTAAAATAATAATATATGTGCCCTATTTTGCCATTTTTTTCCGAACTACAATGTTGGAAGAAAAAACCCAAACCTGTGTCTATTATAATTGTGTCATTAAAGAAGTTTTAGTTGGCTTTGGTATAAGTCAAAAAAGGGTAAAATACACTCCATGCCACTTAATTACCACTCTCTCCGTCCCATTATTTGTGCTTGATATTGATTATTCATATAGTTTTAAGCGATATATTTGACCAAGAAGAATGATAAAATTATCCCTAAAATATGATTAATAGATTTGACAGATTTGTTTTGATATATACAAAATAGTGAGATATAAAGGTAAAAAAAATATAAGTGTTGTTGTCTGTTGAATTTCTAATAAGGCACTTTGAATGAAACAATTTTAAAAATCAAAAGAGACGCATTTAGTGGGAAGAAGATAGTAATTTTATAGTAAATAGGTCATTTAAAAAATTATAATTTAATCACTCAATTAAAATATTGGTACAAATTGATCACTTCATAATTAAATTGAAATAGATATATAATATAACCTAATATAAAAACAATTTAAATTCAAGGATTTAAATATTATATTAATTTGATCTTAAATTAAAATAATTTAATAAATTCAACCTTTATATTTTAAAATGGATCAATTTAATCATTTTTTTATGATACTAACAAACCAAATAAGTTTATCGAATTAAACTAGTAGATAATTTCATTCCACCGTAAAGCGGCAACAAATTATTGTTAAACAATTATTATAACAAGAAAGCAATATAACGATTATGAGAGAATAACAAACAATTAAAAAGAATAAGGACTAAATTAATATAATTGTAACCCCTAGATCCGGTCTGGATGTTATGCCCAAATCTAATTTGTTACATATTGTATTCAGGAATTCTTTTCATATTTAAAACAATGTTAAAATCCATATAACAATATAATATGAAATTAGTCATAAGAAAGGTTCATACAATATATATATATATATATATATATAAACCGTATAAAACATATACAGAACAAAATATCAGTAATATAGATATATCGAGACGATTGCAAAAACATGTGGCACCAAAGTATAGCAAAAAGGCATATAGATATATACACTGGTACAAAAATAAGAGTAGTCGGTCCTTTTGATGTCAAGTTTGCTAGCCTACGGTCTGTTATTATCTAAAAAAGTTAAAATTTACATAATGAACTAAAAAATCCAGTGTGCTCTAGAATGTGTAGGTTCTCCAGAACTATACACCCACCTGTACACCCGGTAAAGATCTTAAAACGACGGCGTTATGAGAACGCTATATAAGCCTCATTTCCTACTTTTTTTTATCATTTTCATTTTGTTTTTCCTTATTTTTTTAACTCTATTCTTCTCCCCACTTTCTTCTCTCCTAAAATCTAGCAAAAGGGTTCTCGCCACCACCGTCTATCGCCATAGACGTCGTCGTTGGTCAATGTCTTCCCCTCCGATAGTGGCTTTTCGAGCCAAAATTTCACGGGTTTCTTCGTCCCAACGCCCTAAGCACGGATCTGAGGTCGGAATGGCCTAAAAAGGTCTCCAACACCGTAGATCTAAGGAGATCTATTCAGCTTTTACGGTTTTCGGTGACCCTTCAATTCTCTGGTGAACGAATGAGCATGGTAAGCCTTTCCCACTTCTCCTCTTTCTTTTCGGTTCTTTGTTGTGAATGAGTTTTTTTTTTTTTTTTCCTAAATCTGTTATTTTTTCGTTCGATTCTCTCTGTTCAAAGCTCCCTTTATTTTCTTTTCCTCATTTTTTTTCCGAATACCCCTCACTTCAATTATGGCCATGGATACTTGGTTGGTGAGTGTATTAATGAGGCTATGGTGTAGGGACGATGATGGCTCCCGAAAAATCAGGATTCCCAGATTTTTCGGGATTGGTTGGATTTTGTTTTATATTTTTTATTTTACTTTTGAATGCGATTTGGATGTTTTCTCTTGATTTGCTGATGGTTGAACTAAGGTGGTGAGGTGACCGACAACGTGGTTTCTCGGCTTAGCTCGTCGACGACGAACAGTGGCGACGGGAACGGTTATGGCGACAGCTGCAGGAGCTAGAGATAGGCTAGGGTTTCAGAAAACCTAAGACATATGGGCCAGGCAGACATGGGCTTGCTGTTGGGCTTTGGGTCTAATGTAATTTGTACTGCAAAAATAATAATAATAATAATAATAATAATAATAATAATAATAATAATAATAATAATAAAAGCTAGACAAAAATTGACGTCAACATTATAAAAGTTAAAAAATATTTTTTACTTTTCTTAAATAATTAAATAAATCCAATTTTTTAAAAAATCAATTTGACTCTTGAACAAAATAAATAATCGATTTAGCTCATTTGTTATGTTATCAGTCACAATGAACTATTATGTCAGTATCGTGAATAGTTATGTCAATACTATGTCAACGATGAAAAACGTTAATAAAAGAATCACATTGAATTTATTTTTTTAGTTGGTTCGTCATTGAGGGAAATATAATATAAGGATTATAGTGATTATTTTTTAAAAGTACATGGCCTTGAGGTACCTTTTTACCTATAACGATTGAAAGAATTTGACAAGTTTTACGTTATTACTTATATCAAATTATTGTGTATAATTTTATTGTCCTATTTGTAATTATGGTAAAACAAGAATCTAATTAGGCTTAGACAATGCAACTAAGAGTGCGTTTGGTTCACGGAATGTAAGATTACCAGTGGGAATAAAAGATTACCAGGGAATAGGATTACTGGGAATGTTGTATTTTGTGTTTGGTTGGTTTAGCTTAAAGGAATAAAAGATTATTGGAATGTATATTTGACTAAATTGTCTTTATTATATATTTGTTTGGTTGGTTTAGCATGAATGTAAGATTATCGTGTTTGGTTAAAGGAATAAAAGATTATTGGGATGTATATTTGACCAAATTGTCCTTATTATATATTTATATAATATTACAAGTTGTAAAATATTTATATATTTTCTTTAAAAAATTAAATTCATAATATTTATAAATTTTTTACAAAATTAAAAATATAAAAAATGTTTAATAAAAGGGTAAAATTTTATTTTAACAAATTTTATTTTAACCCCTGAACTTCATATAAAATTTTAATTATAGACTTTTTTTTGTAAATCTAAAATAATTTAAGGATAAATTTGTAATTTAACCTTCGTAGAATTTTTATTATTCAATGGCAGAAGAATGATATTTTTGAGAAAAAAAATAAAAATTTAAGGCATTTTAGTCCAAAACGCCGGTAATGTTACAATACCTAAGGGAAATGAGGTAATGACATTCCCAGTAATATACCCCAAAAAATTCATTATTGGTAATAAAACATTACCGGGAATGACATTCCCGGCCAAACCAAACGGGGAAATGTGGATTTCATTCCCGGGGGAATCCCACATTCCCCATCCAAACGCCCCCTAAGGGTATATTTATTTTCTAGTAATTGGTGTTGACAATCATTTTTATCTGAGTATTATTATTATTATTATTATTATTATTATTATTATTATTATCATTAGTTATTATTTTATTGTATTATCACTAATATTAATTACATTTTTTGCATGTCAAATTACAGTTGACCCGACATAAATTACATCAATCAATTGGACCAATTACAAACCTAAACTCGAAATGGGCTCAATTGTGTTAAAATTTTGGCTAACCTTAATTTTAGGGTTAGCCACTGCACTACTAGTAAGGTTTTCAGCTCCTACCGTCGCTATTTTTGCCACTTGCTTCCGTCATCCGACGTTGCTGTTTTCAACTAACAACTGACCGAAGTTAGAAAATAGTGACAATCAAATCAATAAAAAGGCAAAAATCAGGAAAAATCAATATAAAAAATAGAAGAATCCCGAGAAAATCCAAGATGTGAAAGTCTTGAGATAGGGAAATCATTCCCCTACTGAAGGCTTCATGTTTTGATCAAATCAGTCCATCAACAAAGAGGAAGATAAAAAAGGGGATAACAACCATTTTCGGGGAGCCGGAAATAAGTTTGAAACAAAAAAAACGTAAAGAAGAGAGTTCGAACGAAGGAGATAACCCACATACAACTAAAAAAACTGAGAATCCATTTGAAAAAAGGAGAGAATAATTTACCTTTTGGGTTCGAAGAACACCACCTTGCTGGAACCACGAGAACGTCTAACTTCAAAGCTAGCCCTTTTCTTTTTGTGGGTTTTGAAAGCTAAAGAGGGGTTGTGTAGTGAGAATATTGGTGGGTTTGGGTGAAAAGGAGCGAGGATAGGGTTAAAGAGGAGGCATCGACCCCCTAGTCAGAGACGGGGTGGTTGGAGAAGGGGGTTCTTCTTTTGGTTGAGAAAAAAAGGATGGGTAAGAAAGAGAAGAAAAGGGAAAAACTACTAAAAAAGGAGAGGGTTTCAGTTGAAAATGATAAAAAGGGGTATTTAAACCCCTCAAAATGACGTCTTTGGGTTTCCTGAAATTAGCACATGGGTTAATCGTGCGAGGGGTCATTCGATTTATTGTATCTTTACATTTTAGTCACTAAATGCAACTTTCTCTCTTTGACTTCGAGCTCCTTATTTTCTTCATGTTTCGTTTTAGTCCTTAACTGTTTGCTAGGCCTTATTTTTAGAAGTTTCATTTTAGTCCTACATGTGTTTTGAGTCT